ACTTCCTTCTTCCTGATGTCTCCTTAATCAGTGATGCTTTGACATTCTTCGAATTCGCTTGTCGGCCTTGATGCTTCGGTTGGTTTGGGTTGGTTATATGGTTGGTTATATTTTTAAATTCTCATATTATTCCAAAACCGACTCAAAACATTCCCGAAGTGTTCTCGATTGTATATGGCTTCTGTCTGACAAGGACCTCCTTTTCTTATTGGTGCTTTCTTCTCTTCTTATGAGATCAATTGATAATCAAGTTGAGTGCTGCCTGCAACTTTCTCGCTACAAAGTGATGGCGGCTAGGCTTTGACCAGGATATCTATGGCACTTGCTGGCAGCCATCGTTTTACAGGCCGCATTCTCTCATGAACGTCCCAGAGGCTGGCGGTACTGATTCGTATCTATCTGGTAAATCCCACCAACAACTTCTTCGATCATCGCCTCAGCGGCCGAATTGTTGAAGAGCCTGATGACTTTGAAACCCTTCCGCCTCTGGACTAACGATATTCGTTGCACGCTCCGGGTCCCACGAGAACATATGCATTTTTGGCAACCTTAGCAGTCCCTGACGTGTTTTCTGTCGCTCAAAATCTCACCCGTACTCCCACGTCATCGGCGATATCACACCCTTTTCTCAGAATGTCCATTTTGAGTCTCGCGTCGATCACGGGATGCTATGGGATGCTGTAGGAGCCACCTGTGTCCCATTGGATGCAGTTCCGTTGCTGCTGGGCATGGGCGCCCCTGCACGTCAGTTCCGCCGTTCTTTCTCCTAACATTTCCCGAGCGCAATCTAGCGACGGTCAGTGCGACTGTGTGCGAACGCATCAAAAGCATCTACGATGGTGCATGCGTCTGCGTAACGAGGTGAAACATTTTTTGCTGTCGAGCCTGAGCGGCTGAGGCTGAGCCGAAAGAGTGCAGCGTGAACAAGTATATGATACATAGTAGGTGAGGCCCCCGGTCACTACCTATGAACTCCGTCCGGAATAGAGTAAATCAAGGCCAAAATTTGGTGTTTTTGGGTCCGGGATATAGAGTAAAACAAGGCCTGAGCCGGGGCTCTCGGTCCGCGATAGAGTAAATCGGGCGCAGCCTGAGAGATTTTTTTTGAAAGAGAAGGTCCCTTAGAGAAGATTTCTGGCCCAACCATTGAATGAAAAGTCGCGCGGCAGGCGAGAAAACGAAGGCAGCGAGGGCTAATGGGGCGGGGAAGCCTGCGGGAGCGTCCACAGGGCGAAAAAAAGCGGAAAAACTAGCGTGGGAATTTTTTTCCGTCCATCATAGAGTAAAACAAGCCTCCAAAGGTCAAAATTCATAGAGTAAATCAACCAAAATCTTCGACTTTGGGCGGACGGAGTTAGTAGGTAGTGACCGGGGGCCTAGTAGGTGGTTCTTTTTTTGGCAGGACCGTGGGGCAAATCACAGCTGAAACCGCTGAAGCGATCCGATTCCCATGGCGCTTGCACATAGCATATACACGGGGTCCAGCCACCTGGAGACGCGCGGCTAGGTTCACTTTTTTTCCCTGGCTCCTGAGACCGAGAGTGGAAAATCTCCAAAAGTTCGCGAAGCCGTCGGGAATGTGGAATACGGGTAGGCGATCCGGAAATTCAAAGAAGACTCATACGCTCGTTCAGTCAACTGGCCCGCCGATGGTAGTGCAATGCAACACGTTGCCCCACCAACAAATACGTGTATGTGTGCCACCATTCAATTTCACACTTACCTGGGCTATGACAGTATATAATATTGTTACAACCCTAATCCCACGCCCTTCGCGCCTAGCACTTTTGCGCATGGTCGCGGCTCGACAAGCGCAGAGTCCCGCATATGCCACCGGATGGCGAAATTCCCGCGTTTTACTTCCGGTCCCATGTAAGAGTTTACCAAGAAAAACTTAGACACCGGCCGGGCGCAATGCTGTATAAGTTTGGAATTCATTTTATGCGCCCAGGCTTTTACAAGTGAAGCCGAGTTGCCCGTTAAAATAAACTTCCTTCTTTCTGCCTTTCGCAGAATCAGCTGTCTTGCGCGGTGGATTACCTTCTTTTGGTAAGACTCAAGCTAAAATTTTGTAGCGCAACTTCCGATGCACGGAACTTCCCCACGAGTGCGAAAATCGCATCGTTGAAAACGCGGCTAAATCGCGGTGAGTGGAGACTTTATTGTATTAAATCAATGGGCTTAGTCCGAGTCTCGCGCCTTGGCCACGCTGAGTCGAAGCCAAGGTGCTTTTAGTACTTGTACCGGACTTTTCGGCAATGAAGGTCATTTTGAATGGGTCCGAACTCCAAAGAGGAAGAATGCGAATTTCGATGGTTTTGGGAAGGACGTTGGGAGGCTGTAGTGCGCTTGGACGGACGATAGGCTGCTTTTGTAGTTCTTGTTGACCAGGTGCGCAATCCCAGCCAGGCGCATTTGAGGCGAAGACGCATCCATGATACTTACGCACCCGACGCTGATCGTATTGCGCTTATTTCTCAGGCTTTCGGTCCGTAGGTAGGCTAGACAGCTATAATGGTATCACAGCGTGAGCTTTCCCTGAAAATACGCAGGTCAGCCTTACCATCAGGATTGATAAATTAGCTTTTAAGATGGGGCAAGAAGGGCGGAGCTGTGGGAAGTGGTTACGGTGAGAGCAGAATAAAGCAGAATAGTATCCTTGGAAATCAGGTCGGTCGCTGTAAGGAATATATCATATATGAGCAGTGAGCAGTCCAGACGCATTGCGCAAATGCATATGATAATTGTCTGCACTCGGCCCGGAAATAGACGTTGGACGCACCTTTTAAGGAGTGGGATTTTTTTACGGAACTCAAGCGGAACTTTCGCTCAGAAGCATAGAGAAGAGAATTATCGGCAAACAAAGATGGGTTTGCGTAGGTTTGCGTCTACCTGCGCCTAGGCTCGGGATGCGTCCACTCTGATCCGTCAGCGCTACTTCTGGAGATGTCGTGGGAAGGGCGGGCGCTGAAGACGGACCAAGCGGACCAAGACAAGTCCCTGGCAGTCCATCCGCTTGGATGGATGGATAGATGGATGGATGAACGGAGGACGGTGGGAACGGCGCGCGCACACGGTCTACTTGGCCGATTAATGGGCGATTGCAGCGTGGGCGGAAGGCGTGTCGCTTCTGCCCACGAGGCGCATTGAGTGGATACCATGGCCTTGGACACGGTGCCGCGATAGCAAGTACGGGGGCATCGGGAGCACTACCGATGGAGTTTCGAGAGCGACTGAACGGAGTGGGGCGCGCTCATGATCACCCAGGAAAATTCCGACAATTACTGCGACTAGAAGGAGTTCGACTCCAAGACGGAGTGGGAGGACTGATAAGACTCCATCCCGCAATCAATGCGCGGCTATGAGCAACAGATAATCATGCCAGTAACCTCAAGCGGGAGTGGGAAACACTTGGGAAACGCCACTTGAACGCCACGCAGATGGGAGAGGCCAAGTGATGACTCGGAATCACCCGAAAATGCATATCAAAATTCAACCGCGGTTGTAACTTGAGTGTGATCTCCGCACCTTGGTAGTCACCCACGTCGCGTCGTGAGAGTGCCGAGTGAATTATTTGCCATAGACGAGCACGCCTCAGACGTTTGAATGAGATGATGAAAGAAGTTATCTTGATTCTCGGGTGAGAATTTGGTTTGACCTTGTGAGCAGAATTCTGCGAGCTTTGCAAAGAAGTCGGTTAGAAAGTAAGGATCAAATCAATTCGAAGTATTAGAATTACTTAAAGGATCTTCTGGTCACGTCGAATGGAGTACGCACGAAACATGTCTCGGTCTGAAGATCGCGATTCGCGAAGTAAATTAGAATAGATACAGCGAGCGACACGGTGCAGGAGTGAAGCTTTGTACGTAAACCCAAACCCGGGCCCGGGTTTGGTTGAAAGGCTATTATTTTGGTTATTGCAGTCCAAGCCAGCAGAATTCTATTATACTTGTCGCAGAGTTTTTATGTCGTCAAATCCGATTCAGAACTTGCCGGCTCTAGTGAGGCCGACGCTCATTTTGCTTTCGCGAATGGCAGTACTAATCATCTTTGTGCAGCTGTGCGCGCAGGCGAATAGTTGAAACGATAGCTCGGTTACGGAAGGAAGCAAAGTTCAACCGCTCGAGTCCGAACCTCGCGCCTTTTCTTCTAAATAAGCGACTAATAGTACTTCCCGCACCTCCTGACGCAATTTCGACTGCAACTCTCTTCAACTTTATCAGATTGCTCCATCAATAATAATACTTCGGCCGCGATCGGAACCAATGGAGATCTCGGTCGGGTGACTCGGAGTCGATGTCGTTCTGGACCGTTACAAGTTCCGGAGCCATATGCATAAGAAGCTCATGCTCAGCATCATGCATTCACTTGCGCACCCGAACGCTGAACAGAGTTCTGGTGGGGCTTAATTTTGAGTCGTTGCTGCGGTTTTAAATTTAGGATGAAGAAAAACGCGTCCGGACGATCGCCGCGACAACCCAATTATACAACCGACGACCACGGCTCCCGCACTAGGCGCCGAGAAGTCAAAGCAACTCACTCACGGACAGCGGGTGAGTGGCGGCTCTCACACTTTTTGGAGAGTCAAAACCTGACTTATAAAGCGACAAATCACCCGGTTCTCGGGAGTGGTGTTGAAAAGTTGGTTGAATTTGAACCAGGAATGTGACTTGCCGGGGTTCTCGGGCATCAAAACGAAAAATGAATTGATATGTATGTTATGCAGTCCTGTGAGCATATCAGTGTAGATGGTATATGGTATACCCGCCAATATCATGGGTTTGAAAAGAAAGGATGGTCTGGGGTTCGATTCCCCGTCGGCGCATGCCGTTTGGGTTCAGTCATCTTTTTGCCTTCCGCGATGGATATTTTCCAGTTACTCCATTGAACAAAAGCACAAAGCGACGAATTCCCCGGTGGTTGAATTCGAACAGCCTGTCAAGTCGAAATGAAGAATGAATTTATGTTCCTATATCCAGCACTGTATGGAGGTGTAGCATGCACTGATGGTGTATTGTACACCCGCTGGTATAATAAGTTCGTTCGAATGGTTACATCGGCGGTCTGGGGTTCAATTCCCCGTCGGTGCATAGTTTTCGGTGCCCCGATTTTTTTCGTCTCCTGATCCTCCTCGAGTAATTCAAAAAGGGAGAGGCTGGGAGCGGCCAGAAATTGTGTGGTTGAACTTTTTGAACAGAAAATTTTGGCTCACTCTGTTAGGTCGAAAAGAAGGGTGGATTTATGTACCTATACCCTAGGGTGTATAAAGGATGACAAGCACCGATGGTGTATGGCATTCCCGCTGAAATAATGAACCAGTTCAGTAATGTAACAGCGGACTGGGGTTCGATTCCCCATCGGTGCATATTGTTGGCCTTGGTATATTTTTTCTTTCTGTTTTGCCTTCCAAGTTCCGCGACGAATAATTTTCCAGTTGTTCTATTGAACAAGCCCACAGCAGCGACGGATTCCCTTGAAGTTCAAGTAGTGAATTTGAACAAAAAGAAGGATGGATTCATACCTGTATCCCGGGGAATATGGAGTGTAACAAGCACTGACGGTGTATGGCACATCCGCTGGTATGATAAGTAATTTGGATAGTCACAATATTAACAGCGGTCGGGGGTTCGATTCCCTGTCAGTGCATATTTTTAGATGGTTCTTGTTTTTTTTAAATTACTTCAGTTCATTTTGGTCTTCTCTTTTCTAATTCATGAGGAATCAAGCCCACATTGTTGCTGCACTGACAAACAATCACGATGTTGGTTGAATCTTTTGAACTTTTTTTCAGTAGATAACTTTGTGCTCCTTGCAAAATGAGGGCTGGATTTATGTACCTATATCCTGCAGTGCACAGAGGCAGGAAGCACTGATGGTGTATGGTACACCCGCTGATAAATTATCCAGTGGGCTTTGTTTAACAGCGGTCTGGGGTTCGATTCCCCATGGGTGTATATTGCAGGCATTGGATTCTTTTTTGTTTTCTGTTTTGCCTTCCAAGTTCACGCGACGAATATTTTCCAGTTGTTCTATTGAACAAGCCTACAGCAGCGACGAATTCCCCAGTGGTTGAAGTTCAAGTAGTTAAAGTTGAATAAAGTTCAAGTAGTGAATTTGAACAAAAAGAAGGATGAATTCACGTACCTATATCCCGGGAAATATGGGTGTAGGAAGTTCCCCATCGGTGCATAGCTCTTCAACTCGAAGTTAGGGCATTTCTTAAATTGCAGTTTCAGCTTCGAGTTCTTTTCGATTCGAAGTGAGAGGGCAGTTGTGGTACAGGATTGCTACACTGACAAACCATCAATACGATGTTGGTTGGATGTTTGAATAAAGATAATTTTAGCTCATTCTGCGAATTGAACTTAGGTACCTATATCCTGCGGTTTATGCAGGATATAAAGTACTGTGGTGTATGGTACACCCGCTGGTATACTAGGTTTGTCAGTCTTGGTTACAACAGTGGTCTGGGGTTCGATTCCCCATCGGTGCATATCTAGTTAACTTCCTCCTATATTTTTTTTATTTTTGTTTTTTTTCAGTTCCTTTTCTTCTGTTTTTGAATCGAGAAGTGAGAAGAACAGTAACAGATGGGATACAGTATTACTGCACTGGAGAACCAAAATTGGTATTGCAGTAAGTCCGTAGATTACTTACTTACTGTATTTCCGTCTGTACGGCTAGCTATACCTATAAATATTTGAGGGGCTTGCTCGCACGTCAAGGTTCCATAACAGCGCAGTATCAAACCCGATTTACTGGGAATAATAAATTTGTGGCCAATTGCAAAGCAAGTTGGCTCAGGGTCGCACTCCTTACTTGATCTTTCGTTAGTCTCTCGTAGAGTCGTAGACAGACGCTTTAACATGGGAAGCTCGTACGTCGTGTAATCTATCGTCAGGATTCAGGATTCAGGGTTGGCTTTGCCCGACGGGGGGCTTTCATAGTGAACATTATATAGCAAGACGTAACGCCACCAACTGTCTCGCGAAAGTTCGCGGGAACGGGAGCGGCTGTTGCTTTGCTTTACGCTCGGGTTCGAGGTTGGTTAACATCGGGCGGTCGAGGTGCCAATGGTATTTTCACAGCGTCAGGGTGGGATTGGCGTGGAAGCTATTGCACCATTTACACCCACGAAGTTTGAAGTTTGAAGGCGGTGGGAATTGGGAAGTGGGAAGCGCAGGGCGGGCCTCGTTATGGGCAAATGTGATGCATGGGTAGGGAGGTGGGAGGGTGAGTTGATGTTCGTTTTGGTTTTGCCTCCGTTCCAAGTTTGAGGTTTGAGATGATTCCGAACAAGCGCGAACGCGAACGCAGCGGGTGTTTTTTTGGTCAGAAATAGAGATGTTGCTGGTGGTGAGCGCGTCTTGACGATGATGGTGTCCAAGGTCGATGGAGGGCTAAGTTTACGATGAGATGACATGGTGCGCGCGCGCTCGACCGTTGCGCGCCCCTGAAACGCATCGGGTGTATTCGCGGATACATACGCACCACGCTTGGGAAATTCATAATTAATATTGCTACTTACATGAGCGCGAGTACGTGGGGAATAACGACAGGACTTGAATCCAGGGTGGAAGTTGAGTTGGAGTTGGAGTTGGAGTTTGAATATTTTTAGGAAGCAGAAAGAATGAATGAAGGATGAAGGATGATGAGAGTCACCACGTATCTTGATGCTGATCATACGTAGGTTTAGGTTCAACGTTTAACTTTAGCATCTATGTTATTGGTGCGCATGTGTCCCGGGATGTGACATGGCCATGGGGAGGTTGATAATGATTCGATTCAAGCTCGAAGCCCATCGGGTGCGGGTATTTCGCGGATACGTACCGCGACGGGCTAGCGCCACACCCCGTACGTGGGGAACAACGACGGAAATATTCTTCCTGCGTTCGGCGTTCTTCGAATTCCTCTAGGTTGAGGATGACATGACATGGGTGCGCGCACTGGCACCCGTCGCGGGAATGGGAAGCGGGAACGGCTGGCGATTTTCGCGGCCACGGAGAACATGGGAGTCAGCGGGCGCCGCATTTGATTTGCGTACTGTACATAGGAGTGCGATGAGTAGGTCAACGATATATTATATCATAAAGGATGACAGCAGCCTGGTTGAAGCCTAAAAGGTCAGGGTGAGCGCCGTCGGAGAATATATATATATATATATTATATACTGAGTCGTCGGTGCATCCATACGTCTGGATTTCGAGCTTGGGCTTGGGCTTGAGTCGTAAATTATATGTATATTTGTTGGTAAATTTGAATATTTGGGTTGTTTGGATGTTTGGGTATTTGTATTTGTGCGGCGGTGGCTAGCCTAGACTGGGTTGCGTACGCGTACGTAGATATCGATATATCTTCACTGTGGAAGTGATATTTTGCCGTGAGTGCTACGGCGTGGAAGAACGGAAGGGTGGGATTGGCGTGGAAGCTACAGCCACAGCTACGGTATTGCACCCACGTACGAAGTTTGAAAGGCAGTGGGAAGTGGGAAGTGGGAAGCGCAGGGCGGGCCTCGTTATAGGCAAATGTGATGCAAGACACACGCGGACGGTGGGCCTGAGGTTGATGTTGAATTTCCCTCCGTTCCAACTTGAGTTTGAGGAGGTTCCGAACAAACGCGAACGCGAAAGCAGCGAGTGTTTTTTTTCGTTCAGAAATAGAGATGTTGCTTGTGTGAGCGCGTCTGGATGATGATCGTGTCCAAGGTCGATGGAGGCTAAGTTTACGATGAGATGCCATGGGGCGCGCTCGACCGTTGCGCGCGCACCCCTGAAACGCATCGGGTGTATTCGCGGATACATACGCACCGCGCCTGGGAAATATGCCTACATACTTACATGAGCGCGAGCACCACGCCTCGTACGTGGGGAATAACGACAGGACTTGAACCCAGGGTGGAAGGCGAAGTTGAAGTTGGAGTTGGAGTTCGAATATTTTTTTACAGTAAAGAAGAAAGAAAGAATGAAGGATGAAGGGTGAAGAATGAGTCACCGCGCATCTTGATGCCGATCATACGTAGGTTTAAGTTCAACGCTCAATTTTAGCACCTATGTTATTGGTGCGTCCCGGGATGTGACATGGCCATGGGGAGGTTGATAATGATTCGTTTCAAGCTCGAAACCCATTGGGTGCGGGTATTTTCGCGGATACGCACCGCGACGGGGATATCTGCTTGCGCCACACCCCATACGTGGGGAACAGCGATAGCGACAGAAATATTCCTGCTGCGTTGTTCGCATGCCTTGGAAGCCTACGTTGACTCGAGGATGCCATGACACGGGTGCACGCAATAAATGGAGTCGCGAAACCCACACGTCGCGGCTGGCCATGACGGTTTTCGCGGTCACGGAGAACATGGGAGTCCAAGTCAGCGGGCGCCGCGCGCCGCAGCATTTGCATTTGCGTACTGTACATAGGAGTCGTGAATTATATTTGTTGCCAGTAAATTTGGGTATTTGGATATCTGTACTTGTGCGGCGGTGGCTAGCCTAGAGTAGACTGGGTTGCGTATGCGGACACGTACGTAGATATCGTTTTTTTTGCCAAGGACGGTGGACGGTGATGGTAGAAGTGGAGGTAGAAGTGGAAGTGGTACGGTATTTTTACAGAGCCAGGGTGGGATTGGCGTGGAAGCTATTGCACAATTTACACCCACGAAGTTTGAAGGCGGTGGGAAGTCGAAGCGCAGGGCGGGATACGAAGAAGAGGATCGCGATTCCTGGAATGGTGTAATGTGATGCGGACGGACGGTGGGAGGTTGGTTGATTTTGGTTTTGGTTTTTCCCTTCGTTCCAAATTTGAGAAGGTTCAAACTCGAACGCAGCGGGTGTTTTTTTTTGTTTAGAAATAGGCTGAGAAATAGAGATGTTAGTGCGTCAGATGGTGAGTCTTGATGACCTGGTTGACGACGACGATGCCGATCATCGTATTCGAGATTGACGGAGGCTAAGTTTACTATGCTATGACATGAGTGCGCAAGACCGTCGTGCGCGCGCCCCTGAAACCCATCGGTTGTTTTCGCGGATCGGATACGCAGTGGGTATTAATATTCTTGCTGCGTTCTTTCTTTCTTTCTTTGGAAGAGCCACTA